CATAATTTGAAAATTGGAGCAGGCAGATTTTTAATTTATGTGATCTCTGACTACAACAGCGATGTTTGAAGGTTTTAATGATGGAAAAGTTGGGTGATTTATAGGACGAAATCTAAAGGCCTTAGCCTAGGATTCTAGAAAATATCTAAACGAGGCAGCTTCTGAGCCAGCCAGTCTGAGTTCATCCCCTGCCTCTGGCTTTCACTATGTGGTTTTGGCTAAATTACCCCAAGGCTCCAGATTCCTACATCTGCCATGGCGGGAAGTCACAGGGCCTCTCTCAGAACTATGTCAGGGTTTAGGGAAGCTTCTAGGCACATAGAAATGTTTACTACCATCGCCCTAGCCCAGTGGTCAGCAAACTGCAGCTCGAGAGCCACATGCGGCTCTTTGGCCCCTTGAGTGTGGCTCTTCCACAAAATACCACTGCCTGGGCGAATCTATGTTGAAGAAGTGGTGTTAGAAGAAGTTTATGTTTAAAAAATGTGGCTCTCCAAAGAAATTTTAATCGTTGTACTGTAGATATTTGGCTCTGTTGACTAATGAGTTTGCTGATCACTGCCCTAGACAGTTTGGATCTGGATAGAGTGTCAGCCTGCTGGCTGAAGGGTCCTGGATTTGATTCCGGCTCAGGGCACATGCCCGGATTGCAGGCTTGGTCCCCAGTAGGGGGCGTGCAGGAGGCAGCCGATCAATGATTCTCTCTCATCATTGATGTTTCTATCTCTCTCCTCTTCCTCTGAGGTCAATAAAAAAAATATATATATTTAAAAATATTTACTACTATGAATGCCAGTATTAGAGTCATGATCCGTGTTGTTGTTAGAATTATTCTACAACATGGCCCCTGTGGGCCTCTCACCGTTACTTCCTGTTCTGTGCAAGCCCCAGGCAAACTAAGCTACTCACCACCCCTGCACACACTGCAAGGCTCTCTGCCTTCCTCTTGCCGCCTGGCTGTGCAGAGGCTGAGCAGCCACTTGGAGGGGATGTTGGAAAGGCAAAGGCAATCCCCAGAAAGGAACTGAGTCGAATGCAAGTTCCTTTCTCTCTGAGATTCCATCAGATCAACAAAGCGGACAGGAAACTTAGCAGCTCAACATTCAACATTCTCCAGAGTGATCTCTGACTCCTCTCCTGTTCATCCTCCACTCATTTTTTAATTTTCTTTTTTAAATATATTTTTATTGATTTCAGAGAGGAAGAGAGAGGAGAGAAAGAAACATTAATGATGAGAGAGAATCATGGATTGGCTGCCTCCTACTAGGGATCAATCCTGCAACCCAGGCCTGTGCCCTTGACCGGAATTGAACCTGGGACCCTTCAGTCCTCAGGCCAACGCTCTATCCTCTGAGCAACACCGGCTAGGGCCATCCTCCACTCCTTTTTAGCCCACTCACTGAGGGGGCCTTACTTTCCAGCGCTCTGAGCCCCTGTGGGGATCCTGGGCAAGAAGTTTCAGCTGATTGTGAGGCAGGAATGGGCTGTGATGGAAGGACACACGCCCGCTTGGCAGACCGACCTGGGGCTTGATCTCCAGCAAGCGGCTTACATTCTCCCAGCAGTTTCTCCGCCAGTAGAATGGGGACTCGGTTCCCACTCCCAAGGCTGAGAATTGAATTAGCTGTTGTGTACAGAGCGGCCCCGAAGAGCCTTCCCCTCCCTGGCCTTCCCCTCCCCATTGTTAGGGGGGCATGCAGGCCATGTCTTTACTGGGATTTAGATGGACACGTGGGGATTTTGGGGCCACGGGGGAGGGTGGGCTGCTGCAGGAAGGTTGGGGCAGATGGCGGGAGGCCTTGAAATGCAAACCAAGGGCCCTAGCCAGTTTGGCTCAGTGGCTAGAGTCAGCCTGCAGACTGAAGGGTCCCGAGTTAGATTCCGGTCAAGGGCACATGCCCACATTGCTGGATGGATCTCCAGTAGGGGTCATGCAGGAGGCAGCCGATCCATGATTCTCTCTCATCACTGATGTCTCTCTCCCTCCCCCTTCCTCTCTGAAATCAATACAAATATATATTTTTAAGAAAAGGGACCTGGGCTTGAGGAAGCAGAGTTAGGGGCCTGGCTGTTCTCACCCCTCCACTGTGCCTCCTCCTCTTCCTTCTCTCTGCTGGCCAGCACTCTGCGCAGCAAGTAACAGGGTAAAAATAACAGGACGGATCTTCACGAACACAGACTCGGGGGATTGTTTCCCAGCACTGGAAATGGCTACAGAGTGGTCCCAGGCCCACCCTGGAAAAAAAATAAAATAAAACACAGTGTGCCCTGAGCCGCTTCCTGCTTCCAGCTGGCACAGGCATAAGGGGACACCCTCCCATGCCGGCCCCCCAGATGAGGAAGGCAGGCCAGGTACGGGTCCTTTCCATTGGGATCGAAGGCCCGCACCTCCACCCTGGTTGTGCCCAGCACGAGTCACCACTTAGAAATGGAAGCTTCTGGAAGCAGGACGTCCCTGCTGACACATCAGTACTGAAAGGATCATGATCTGGACAGGAAAGCGCGGTGGCTGGGGTCACAGGGTCAGATCTGGGGGAACTAAGTACAAGGACCTTCCTCACTTAGGCAAGCCGGTTCGGTATAATTCATCACTGTTCATGGAGCAACTTCTGTTTGTGGGCACAGCCGCCTCCGGGCGCGGGGTGAAGACCTGTGTGTGCTCTCAGCATGAGTAAGGATAGCAACCCACCAAGTTAGCAGACAATGGCCCTCTAAGCCTCAGTTTCCCCTTCTGCTGAAGAGGCTCGGGCCCAAACTAATGCAAAGAGCCTCCTCTAGTGTCTGCCCTTAAAGCAATGGGAGCTGCTTTTTATTTGCAGAAAGACTAGTGTAAGATCTGTGTGACTAGTACTTGGCTAGAAATAGCCAATCTGAAAACATCTTTTTAAAAAGAAAAGCATCTTACATGCTTACTTAATGCCCAACGCAAGCATCTTTTTCTGTCCTGTTTTCAACCTTTGATTGAAGAAGAAGAAGAAGAAGAAGAAGAAGAAGAAGAAGAAGGAAGGAAGGAAAGAAAGAAAGAAAGAAAGAAAGAAAGAAAGAAAGAAAGAAAGAAAGAAGAAGAAAGAAGAAAAAAGAAGAAGAAAAAAGAAGGAGGAGGAGGAGAGGAGGAGAGGAGAGGAGGGGGGGGACGACAGCCTGTGGACTACCAGGCCCAGTCCTAAGCATTTAGGCCTCCAAACAACCCAGTGACATGAGCCCCCTTTACAAACGGGACACAGCAGGCCCAGAAAAGGTCATGGACGTGGCCAGGGTCACGCATGGCTTCAGAATGGTCCTTGAGCTTGTACTCCTTGCAGCTGCCGCCCCGGCTCCTTACCATTGTCTCTGGCTGACAAGTTGGTGAGACACAACCCTCCCTCCCTGGCGCTTCCTCTGTCCCCGCTACCCTCTTCCTCTCCGTACCCCAGCACCGCGATCTGCTGCTGCCCCCAAACTAGGGAAGCCCCAGCCTTTACAAGGACTGCTCATCTCCCTTAGAGGCAGCTCTGGGGGCAAGGCTTGGAGGAGCAGCTGGTGGGGATGGTTGTTATGGGCGAGCTGGGGAGGAAAGAAGTGACTCTTGAGGGCCGTGGCGGGGGAGGGGGGGGTGAGGGGGACGAGTCCCAGAACCCACAGAAGTGGTGTGGCAACTGCCGGTGGAACTGGCCAGAAAGATACCCTGTGTGACCTTGACTGAGCTTTCACAGCGAGGTGGCCGGCAGCAGGGAGACTCGGGGTCCTGTAACCAGAGACGTGACATCCTGTGTCTGCACCGGAGGGCTCGGCACCCCCATTCGGAGAGCAGCCACCCACCAGAGCGTGAACTGGGGAAGCCAGACAGCTAGTCTGCCCCTCCCATGTCCCCCCAGAAGAAGGAAGTGCAGGGGACGAAGAAATGGGGAAGTCCCAGTAGCCCTGACCAGCTGTAAGGGTCCATACCACAGCAGACCCCTGTCCCCTTGCAGACCAAGCCTCGGCCATAAACATGATGAGCATGGATTTGGGGGCGTCTGGGCGGAGAAAAGTGTCCCAGGCCCTCTTCTGCATCTAAGACAGCCCTAGGAGGCCATTTCAAGCCCCAGGCCTTGCCTCTGGCCTGGCTCTCTGCAGGCGCAGGGCGTGGTCCCTGTCACTGTCTGAGCTGCCAGGGGTCAGTGGTGCAGAAGCAGGTGCCATTTTGAAAACTGCTCCTGGCTGCCTACATTTCCGGGTGGAACACACCTCAAAAATGCCTTGTGCTGGAAAAGCCTCCCTTCAAAACCCAGAGTTCCATTTCTCAGGCTTCAGAAAGAAAGGCGATTGCTTGTGTTTGGCATCTGCCGAGGGCCTCCAGAGATCACTTGTATAATTTAGGAAAGAGGGGCAGGAAAGCAAAAGACCCTCCTCCCTGTCAAGCAGCAAGCCCATAGCACAGCTTGAACTTGACTTCTGTTTCTCAGGGAGGGGCGGGCAACTCTATACATGGACCTCACAGCAGCAAATATTGCGGTTCTTTGGTTTGGATGTGCACAAAAATGACAGCGCCGAAAGCAACTCGCATGTCACACCGGAGAAATGTTTAAAATTCACTTTGTGGTGTTTTACCTCCCACCCCAGTAGCGGAGACCGACGTCGACGAGACAAAGAGGGCCGGGTGGGGCCCGATGCCCTCCGCTGGCCGGAGAGCTGAGTCACACGAATCGCGCCCGCAGTGGGCGAGGCCCCCCTGCGAGGCCACACCGCACCCTGGCTCGGCGATGGCTCCACCAGACAAAGCCAGGCTGGCACGAAAGGAATGCCTGTTCCCCTCGGTACCCCTCGGGCTCTTAGGGATCCTGCCCGGGTCCCCTAGAGCAGGGTGCGGGCTGTTGCAAAAATCCATGATGGCAAAGCGGACCTAAAGGGGAAAAATGCATCAGGAAGGGCGTGTTGGGGGCTGGGGGGGTTGCTCTCTTATTTTTCCGCCCTCACTGCGGTTAGGGGGCATCGGTGGGCGCGGGTGGGGGGCCCCCCAGGCGCCACGTAGGGCCCCGGGACGCTGACCCAGACCCCGGGCGCGAAGGAGTTAAGGCGGAGCGCGGTGATGTCACCTCATTTGCATAGCGGCGCGCATATAGGGCCGCCCGCCGCCCCGCCCGGCACTCGGCGGCTGTCCCGGAGCTGATCGACTTCTCTCGCTCGCGCACCTCGCTGGGGTGAGCCCGGGGCCCCTGCTCCCGCGCCTGGGTGGATCCCCTTCCTTCCCCGCACCCTGCTGCGGCACCCCCAAAGGCGATCCCCGGAAAGGGCTGCCTAGGGGAGGCTGGGGAGTGTCAACGCTTTCCAGATTCCGGGTAACGGGGCGATTTTTTGTTTCCTTTTTAAGCATCCACCTGGCGTCTTGGTACGCGGCTCCCAGGGAGCAGGTTTCCCCTTCTTTCTCCCCGGGAAGGCACCCTCCGTAGCCCCCGAGGCAGCGCTCCATCGGGAACAGAAAGCGCCTTTGTTCCAACGCGCACCCACCAGCCCGGGCTGCGGCCACTGCGCTCCCCGCCCGCCTCGGCGGCCCCGTGGGCTGCCTCCGCCCAGGTTCGGGGCGTCTGGGCAGCCTCGGAAGCCCTCCTTGCAGGGGGCGATGCGTGCCGAGGTGGCAGAGGGGGCCGGTTTGGGGGCGCGGGCAGCTCGGTGCGGCGTCCGCATTGTTGCGCGCCGGCGGGGAGGCTGGCAGGGCGGTGGTCAGTGCCTTAGAGACAAAAGGAAGCAGCGCCTTTGCAGAGGAGAAAGCACCTGGAGGAAATGGGATGGCGAGTGCAGCCCTGGCTCCACCTGAAGGCTGTTCCCTCGCTTTTTTTCTCCCCCGGAAACGCGCCCTGAGCCCGATTTTGAGGTTGCAACGCCGCAGTGAAGCCCGCAGCGCCCCGTCGGCCTCCTGATGCGGGAGCGGTCCTCCCTGCGTGGCGCCTCGCCTTCGGGGAGATTGAGACGGGGCGGGGGGTGGGGGCTCCTTTTGCAGAGAGAGAGGTCTCTGGCTGCGAGGGGGCGCGGGAGGAGGCGGAGGTGCGGGTTCAGGCGTGAGATTCGAGGCCCGAAGCGCGCTTCTGCGCTCACCCTCCTCCCTCCCGCTCTGTGCCCGCAGCTTCCTCTGCAACCATGTCTGACAAACCCGATATGGCTGAGATTGAGAAATTCGATAAGTCGAAATTGAAGAAGACAGAAACGCAAGAGAAAAACCCACTGCCTTCAAAAGAAAGTAAGCCCCCACCCCCTTCTATCCCCCCCGCCTTCTTGAGAAAGGGCTGAGAGGGAGGGCCGGTAGGGAAGATGGGAGGGGCGGGGCGGGGGGGGGGGGAGGAGGGTGGGACCAGAGCCGACAGTTGATGAATGTGGCTTGGAAAGGTTAATTAAAAATGAGTCTGCAGCCAACAAACGGAGTTTGAATAACCCAACGCAGGAATGTTTAATATGTCCTAGGCGTAGGCTTTATCTGTCTGATGCTCCCAGTTCATAAAAAGCCTTCGTGATGAGATGCCTATGGGTACTTGCAGGGTTTTGCTCCTTCGGAGGAAGGATCCTTTACACGAAAGCACTGTGGTCTTCCCCTAGGCTGCAGCGAATCCGCATAACTGACCGCCTCCGCCTTTCTCTCTCTCTCTCTTTCTTTCCCATCCACAGCGATTGAACAGGAGAAGCAAGCAGGCGAATCGTAATGAGGCGCGCGCCGCCAAGATGCACTGTACATTCCACAAGCATTGCCTTCTTACTTTCCTTCTTTTAGCTGTTTAACTCTGTAAGATGCAAAGAGGTTGGATCGGTTTCAGTGACTGTGCTGCCCCTTTTCACATCAGAACTACTGACAACGAAGGCCGCACCTGCCGCCCCCATCTGCCCGGCCGGCTGGCGGGGAAGGGGGGGGACTACCATGCATGTGGGTGAAGGAATGGGCTGGGGGGGGGGGGGCGCCGGTGAGATCTAAAGGAAACACCAAGTTGGTCAGGGGGTCCTGCAGGCTGTAAAATGCAGTTTAATCAGAGTGCCATTTTTTTTTGTTCAAATGATTTTAATTATTGGAATGCACAATTTTTTTAATATGCAAATAAAAAGTTTTAAAACCTGGCTGGCGTCACTTGTTTGGTGTCTGGGAGGAGCGCCTTATTCGCGGAGGGAAAGGGTCTCCCCGTGGAGGGGTCAAGGGGAAACATCTGGTAAAATGGGTGTCACCCGGGTGGGGGCAATACCTCAGCTGCGGGAGGTAAGTGGGAGGGAATTACTCATGGCTGAGTTCCCAGCATGAATTGTATAAAAACGGATCGAGATGTGCAGTTCTTTATATAGAGAGTGCCAAGCCAATGCTGCATTTTGTACCCGATTAAAAAAAAAAAAGATAGTTCCCAGCACAATGTCTTGGGTGTCAAATTGAACTTGGCTGGCCAGCTAATGACCCACAGGGACAACAGGACTGAAGCATTCCTGTCGGAGGGGGAAAATGAGGGGAAATGCGTTTTAACAGCTGTTTCATCGAGGAAGCCCACACACGTTTTTCCTCACCTAACTGGGTTCTAATTAGAGGTCAGTATTGGAAATGGCTTTTAGAGAAGAAGCGCACTTCAATGAACAGGATTTTAAAATTCGCACTTGAATAACAAAGCGGTCGGATGAAGGCGGGGTGGAAATGGTGCCACGTTCAAGTGCAGGGACTGAACTGGCCGGTCCCCAGGGCTGGTCTTGGAGTCCAGAACCTCTCAGTCCTTGGACGTGCCTATTCTACCTGGTGACTTTGGGGAAAGCCAAGCCCTGCATGTGGGCATTTAGGGTACAGAAAGGGAACCGGGGATCAGCATGAAGTGGGAACATTTAAGGGGAGGTCGTTTCAAAGCTAAGGTTCCCAGTGCAAGCGCCCAAGAAGTTCAACCCCCTCCCCCTCTCACCCCCCCAAAAGAAACTCATGAAACCCTCCTTATGAAGGAGGGGTGGGGGCCAATTGCTGATCATTATTAAACGGGTCCATTTCCTTTCCTTTGCTCAACACTTATTTTGAGAAACGCACAGGAAGCCATTTACCTGCGGTTAGCAGCCGCAGCAGCAGCAGCAGCAGCAGCTAGAAGCCTTTATCTGCATTGCAGGGGAGGGGGGGGGGCGTGTCCCAGCTGCGTGCGGTGAGCACAAAGGTCTGGAGGGGCCCGGCGCCCCGCATTTTTTCCTGCTGCGAGGAAGGGCGTGGGCAGATGGGCGTGCCCCGGGCACAAAGGCCCGCGGCGGCCCGTGCCGTGTGCACTTTTCAAACAATGCAGACGTGAAGGAGGATTGGAGGGGGACCCAGCTCCGGGGCTCCCCCGTTTCACACGGAAAAGGAGCATTCAGGGGACGGGGCGGTCCTTGAAGTTCAGGGATGAAAGAGGGGTCCTTTCTCTCCTGGGAGCTTCAAGCTAAAATTTAGGGAGAAAAAGAAAAAGGGGGGTGGGGGTGGGGGAAGTGAAATGAACAATCTGGCAATGATTGCCTTGGGCTGCTAGGCTCGCGTGGGCTGGGCCAATTCAGAAGCTCCTGCACACACAGCACTGAGCTGCGGGTGAGAGTGGGGGTGGGGGTGAGAGAGCGAGAGCTTTTTTTTTTTTTTTCATTTGAGGGGGGAAGTGAATTCTTTTCTCTTCCCAGGAGAGAATCCTCCCAGAGGCCCGGGTATGTCTGAGCCAGCTGGGCTTTTACACTGATTGAGGAGATAGTGTTGGAAAAGAATGTTTTTCTCACCGACACCACGGGACCTGAGGTTTACCATTCAAATGGGGGGTCATCTCAAACGAAGGAACCCCTGTACCCCCACATCTTTGACTCCCTCCGCACCCCCAGGAGGAAACGGGTTGAGGGAGGTTAAGAGCCGAAGACCCCAAGGTCCTGTCTGGGACTTCTGCAAATTTTGCACCGACAGACCTAATAAAGCAAAATAGGGGAAGCAAGAGACCCAGCAAAGGCTCTGAGGCTGGCTCACTCTTTCCTAAATCCCAGATTCCTCAGCATCGCAGCCACGTTTGCAGCCTCCGGAGGAGGGAATTTTAGAGCTGCACGATTCTTCCAGAACAGCACAGTTCTTGGGCTGTGTGTGCAAGGATGGGGTGGATGCAGTGGGGGTTGCTTGTGTAGGGGAGAGGGGGAATGCAAAGTCTTAATGAACTCCGAGCCTCTCCCAGTGTGCAGGGCCTCCTCTTCCATAGCTGGCCTCCTCCGGCACGCTGGGGTTTAGATACTGTCTCCTTTAAATGCACCGGGGAGATCTGCAGATTTCCCGAGAGAAGCATCTCACCCCACAAAACACAAAAAAGAACCTTCGACTCTTTCTCAATGCACGGGACCCATTTTCTGCTGACCAGAAAGACAGCGAGTTTTGAAACCAACATCATGGTCCCCCAAATAAAGAACCCTTCTGCCTTTCTCAGCTCAAGAATGTGAATTGAAAACATGCCGTTTCATACCGTTGAAAGCACTTAGAGCTTGATCTGCCCCAATAACACTTTGGCGGGTCTGGCAAGAGAGGAAGAAAAATACCTTTCCCTACCCCCAATTTCTCACTTGTAAGAGAGACTGACACTGCAATCTAGGAGAAGTAAACACATCAAGTTGAAGTTCAACGGTATTTTATTTGCATGTAACGAGAAGAGGTTGCATTACAAATTTAAGACACAGGTGTGCAGTGAAGTAAACGGAGGAGAAAATACATTTCGGAGACCTGCAGTTACCTGGCTGATTTTTAACTCTCATCTCTCTAGTCACATTGCTAGTGCTACCCCAATTCTGAGAATTGTGGGCAGGGGACGCACACTCTACGCTCATCCTATCTAATAAAGATAGAATATGTAAATTGACCGTAACTCCACAAAAAGATGGCAGCACCCACAGCCAATAAGGAGGGAATATGCAAATTATGGGACAAGGTGAGAGGCGAAAAGCAGCTCCTGCTGGAGCGAAGGTGGTGCCAGCAGCCAGGGGAAGGAAGGCCTATTCTTACATGAATCTTTGTGCATTGGGCCTCTAGTGTTTGTATATTCTCTCATGTCCAGTAGCATCTCACCTAGAAATGAAAGCATATTAGAGCTTCAACATGCACTTTCCCCCTTCATTGTTGGAGATGTTACTTAACATGGTGTTTTGGGGCACCATCGAATACATGAGTATTGTGTGAGACAGCACAATTTTAAATACATTTTTACAAACATGTAAAGAACTTTGAATGCTAATTTGCCACTGTCCCTGGTCGTGCTGATTTTGAGTCAATTCTTATATTATTGAACTTGCATACTAGGTCATTAGGTTACCCCACCAATATGTATTAACTGTGCAATGCCTGTATTTTATGTGCTGCAGAGATACAGTCGTAAATAAGAAAACATAGCCTCAGCCCCCACGTGTCTCTCTTGGTTAAAGTTGCCTTTTTCATATGAATCTGAGTGGAAAATGCCAAGATGCTATTGTTTTCCAATTTTGGGGTGAATCCTGTACCTAAAGGCTGTGGACTTCCCCCAAAATGTATCTATAATGATCACATTTCAATTCCTCACAAAGGTCACTGGAAAGTGAAATGTGATGGAAACCAACTGACTCTTTGCACCACAATCCAATATTTGATCACCATGGGGAGGTCAGGAGGAATAGCTCTTGCCTGCTATCTTTTGATGACCCTCTCGGAGGCATGCCCAAGATTTAGGACATGATTTTAAAATGGATGTTCTTCTAGGATTTGACAAGGTAGATGCTGGGTCTCCAGAGAAACACTTCATATTGCTAAATCCGTCCCCTCCCTCTGTCAGCCTTCTTTGTTCTATTTGACTTTTGAAATCCCTCTGGGGACAAGCGAAATAAAGGATGGCCACATGAGGATATCTGGAAGTGTAGCACCTCGGCGGCTGGCAGTTGGGTCACATCTGTGTAGCGGGAGCTTGCACGGGGAGGGACGGGTCCTGCTGGAGATCTATTCAGAGCGGGTGCAGCTATTCCTGTGTCATTCTTGTCAAACCACGGGAAATGAGGCCTTTCCTCATCGCCACATTGGGCTCTGCCACTGGCCGATAACTGTTGCCTAAGACAAAATATATAGACAGCACAGCCCCCTATCTGCATATCGAGGGCCATCCAGTCAGCTCAGCCTGGATAATGTCTTGCATGAAGGGAGCAAAGACTCGTTTTTTTTATTGACTCAACAAACTATTGCGCACCTCCTGTGCGCCCAGCTCTTTCCTGGTTGCTGGGAAGAGGGCCATGAGTCAGCCTGGGCCCCTGGGAGAGGCAGATGCATGTGGATGAGTAGCCATGGACCGCATGAGCCAATGAGCCGGCTCATCCATGGTGGGGGCAGAGAGCTGGAAGCAGATGTGAGGGCCCCTCTGCCTGACTCAGGGGTTTGCAAGTTCAGTTTCCTTCCGGCACCCAGGAGCTATCTGAAGCTCCATTGCTTAGCCCACAGGACACAGCCTGCGGACTTCCTGCTCAGAGTGCAGCTGCATGGGGCGAAGGGCGAAGAAGAAGCTGTCCATACTTGTCATGGAGACGGTGATGAGCAGGGCTACATGCACTCAAGTACGAGATGATGATAAGTCATGCGTTTATTGAAGCTGCCTAGGCTGCGTCTCAGTGAGACAGGCTGGGACACCTCCATATTGTCAACACGTGGCATGCTCATTTGCTACCAGTTAATGGTGTGAACAGAGAGTTGGCATTTGAAACGCTTAAAATGGTCATTCTGGTGAGATCTCTGAGGTTCACACATGAGAAGCTGATTGTCTATCTTGTATAGTTCCCTAAGGCTGCTGTAACCGATCAACTCTGTGTCTTAAAACAACAGAATTGCCCTAGCTGGTTTGGCCCCGTGGATAGTGTCAGCCTGCAGATTGAAGGGTTCCAGGTTTGATTCCAGTCAAGGGCACATGCCCGGGTTGCGGGCTTGATCCCCAGTAGGGGGCCTGCAGGAGGCAGCCAATCAATGATTCTCTCTCATCATTAATGTTTCTATCTTCCTCTCTCCTCCTCTCTGAAATAAATATTCAAAAAAACAACACAGAATTCATTCTCTTATATTTCCAGAGGCCAGACAGAAGTCCAGCATCAAGGCTGGTGATGCCCAGAGGGAA